TGTGATAGGAATAGGATTGGAAAGGGGTGCCTCAGTTGGAAACCATTGTAGAACGGTTCAGCAAGGCATTTCAAGTACAACAGCATGAGGCAAAGCTAACTGAATCAACTGTTGGCTTGGTCAAAAGTATTGTAGATTGATGTCAATCAGATCCTCTCCCATTGGAAGGCATAAATTGGCCTCTTATGAACAGTGACTGGAAAGACTGTGCCTCTAATAATAAAACCATATGTATTTTCTGATTTCCCAAATTGATATGACTGAATGCTGCAGGCTTTAATGTATTATGCCAAAGTGTATTTTCATCAAGTAAAAGAAGCTTTTCAAGATGTACACTTGTCTTTAACAAAATTGTAGGCCATAAAAAAAAATGTCTGCAACATAGTGGAGGGGGTGGACATCCAAACTGACATCAGAGAGAGCCTGAACTTTCTAAACAACTTAGGAAAAAACAGCTGCACATGGGTCATTCTTAGAAACAGACCACATGCTAGCTCACAGGATATGTTTAAGTAAATGCAAAGGAACTGAAGTTATCCCCTGTATATTATCAGACCACAGTGCAATTGAACTGGAGATCAATAGCATAAGAAACCACAAGAACTTCAGAAACACATGGAAATTGAATAACACTCTCCTGAACAACTAATGGGTCACACAGAGGAAATTAAAGGAGAAATTAGACAGTTTCAACAGTTAAATGCTAATGCCAATACAACATACAGGAACCTATGGGACACAATGAAAGCAGTTCTACGAGGGAAATTCATAGCAGTGAATGCCCATACTAGGAGAACAGAGTGAGCTCAAATAAACAATCTAATGCTGCACCTGAAGCTCCTACAAAAAGAAGAGCAAGACAAACCCAAAGCTCATACAAGGGAGGAAATTACAAGAGAAAAGGCATTACCTGAGTGGCTTATAAAAAGTTTAGGACTGTATTTGGGGTGGGTTGATAACACCCAAGAGGATCTTTTGATTCTGAGAGGGTAGAAACAAGATTGGGCCTAACGGCTGCAAACACACCCATGCTTGCACAAGCAAAGCTTTGAGACTTCAGTTGAAAAAAGAGTCAGCAATTGCAGATATTAGCCCAAGCCTCTCCCAGAACAGAGAGCAGCAGGCTTTGATTGATTTACTGCAGTGAACTGAAGTCCAGTGGTTCCCACTGGTCAGGGGAAGGTTCCACAAGATATTTTTTGTGACCACCAGATGGTCATGGTTCACTTTTCTTAGAATTATTGAATTACTCTTGTAGCTGGTGCCATCACCCTGTGCAAAGGTCCTAGCCTTGTGACAGGGCTGAATGACTTCAGATGCTCGAGCTACTGAGGAAGAAATAGGGGCAGAAAAAAGAGCAGAGGCAAAGGAAGAGAAAACACATACCAGCTCCAACAGGCAGTAGGGCAAGTTAACCCTGTATGGTAGTCTTGGTAAAAACTATTTTAAATGATCATCATGTCTGGGTGCAAAGCAGAGTAGAATCCCTAAGGTTGAGAAAGCAAAAAGCACAAACAATATGAAGATAGAGATGTCAGCAACTATCTAGATTACTTCTTAGGAACTTCAAGTCCACTTTCTCTAAAACACTGACTCTTGGCTTTGGGCTGCAGATATGAGTGACTAAAGAGGGATAAAAATTTTGGTGTCTCCATCTTCATATTGTGTCTGTCCCCTCTGCTGTATGATCTCCAAACTTAGAAGTTAAGTTTATTTAGGTTTCTTCTTGGTAATAGTTTTTCATTTCATGGAAACATTCTGTTCCTGTGGTTTTATCAGGGTCTCATGATGGGTCTGTTGAAAAGAGCACAAGGGTAGAAAAACAACATTCCATGCTACAAAATTTATTCTGCCATTCTCTCATTCAGTCTCTTGTCTCAGCAAGGTCATTCCTGTCTCAAGGTGGGGCAGTAAAATCCTAAGTGATTCTATTAGGTCAAGGTTTGCTTCTACAGTCATTAAAGATTTGCATACCAGTTGTTATGGGCTCTATCTAGATATCCCCCCCAAAGCCTCATGAGCTCATAGGCAGGGCTTCTGAAAGATGATTGAATCATGGGGTGCTATGACTAAATGTGATATTAGGAGGTGGGGCCTGGTCTGAAGAGAGAGGTTACTGGCCTTGTGACTTGGAAGGGTGATCTGGCTCCTTCTCTCTTTCTGCTTCCTGGCTGCCCAGATGCGAGCAGCTTTCTTCCAGCTGGGCCCTTCCACCATGTGGTTTCTATGTTTGAGCCTGCAAAACGTGGACTGAAACTTCTAAAATGTGAGCCCAAGTAAACCTCTCCTCTTTTAAATTGTAGGTATTCAGTAATTTGTCCCAGCAACAAGGAAAGTGACTAAGACAGTAGCTTCACTTATAAGCAGTGTGATCTCAGGTTAAGTGAGGAGTTCCTTTATTCCCACCTGTACAATCAAGATAATAACAATCATTTTTTGAAGTTACGATTACATGTAAAAGTTTGTAAAGCATTTATATTGCAATTAGTACAAAAGAAAGGTGTCATAGGAACATAGTACTCAAACTACTCAGCCCCAAGAACATTCTTCAGCCCTAAGAACTACTAATGAGATTTCACTATGGCCACATTGGCAGATGTAAGGAAAGGATTAAAATGGGAGAAGTGGAAAAATGAATACAAGATGCAGAGAAAAAGGAAAGAAAGAGAATGAGAGGCACAGATAGGTGGGCCTTTGTAGAACACTGAAATACTAATTGAGCCATGTGTTTTATAGTCTATGATAAACACAGGGCCTGTACCATCAGGAGATATAGTCTGAGTGAAACAGTCAAGCAACTAGTGCAACATGGACTTTGACAGAGAAGGTGCAGGTGACTGAGATCACAGAGGAGCAACCAGAACAACTAAGAGTGGGTTTAGAAATGCAGGGCAGCAAGTAATAAAGTGGCATCTTGAAGAACATCTGAGAGTTAGAAGGGCACAGTGTGTGGAAAACCAGAACTACCTGTGTGTGAAAGAACTGAAATTCTGTACAGCTGAAGGTGCAGGGTGGGGTTCAGGCATAAGAAGTATTTTGCTAATAAGTCATGCTTTAGTTATTTGCTGAAGACCGCCGTATGTGTCAGGTAGTTTTAGGAATGACAGATTGTGTAGGGGAAACAAAGCCCCCCTTCCTCTAAAGTATTATTTTCGGGTCGGATATTTAGCTCAGTGGTTCTGCCACCTGCCTTGTAAGCGCAAGGTCTTGAGTTCGATCCCCTGTACCCTCCTCCAAAAAAGTATTATTTTCTAGAGTATACCTGATAAGCACAAAGTTTTGTGATGGAGATAAACCCTGGGTAATGTGGTAAGAGGATTCGGGTGGGAAAGACAAATTAGACAGGATGGTCTAAAGGATTTACGGAGTGGCATTCAGCTGATAAGATGCATCTGTCAGTGCTGAGGGGAACAGTCAGGAAGGTAGAACAGTCTAGAAGGTCAGATGGTAAAGCAGAGATTGGCCAAGATTCACCCCATCAACCTTTTGGTAGTGGATGCTGAGAATTTAAGTAGGAAAGAGTCCCTCTAAAGAGATTTAAAAAAATCACAGATTTATCTAGGGTGGCTTTCAACTTTGTAGACCAACAGCAGTGGGAGTTTAGATATTTTGTCCTGCACCTTAGCTAGAACACTATGGTAATTTCTTTCCTTTTTTTTTTTTTAAATTTTGAGACAGGGTCTCGCTATGTAGTTCAAACTGGCCTTGAGCTCACTACTTAGGCCAGGTTGGCCTTGAACTCAGTGATCCTTCTGCCTCTGCCTCCAGAGTGCTGGGATTACAGGCATGTGCCACCATGCCCAACTCCACTATGCTAATTTCTGAATTAGGCCTAAAACTAAGGATTTGAATAGGACTTCAAACAACTTTTCCTCCCGCAGGTCAAGGTGGAGGTCCAGGGGCAGACAGGAGACAGCAGGTCAAGGTGGAGGTCCAGGGGCAGGCAGGAGACAGCAGGTCAAGGTGGAGGTCCAGGGGCAGACAGGAGACAGCCTGAGGGGGCACAGTACACTATATTAAAAAATATCTGAAGATGAGGGGCAGTAATAATGATCCCTACTGGGGCTTTGCATGGAGAAGACAAGAGCTGCAGTGTGTTCATAAGCAGACAGGTTTCAGAATTGAAGAACATATACTTTTGAGGACTTCTAAGTGGTCAGTAGGGATGAGGTCGGAATTAGTTTCCACATCTGTAAAATGGCCACAGTTAAGAATTTCTCACTCAGATGGGTGTAAGCCTGTAATTCCAGCCCTTTGGGAGGCTGAGACCAGAGGATCACACGTTTAAGTCCAGCCTGGGGAACTCTGGGAGACCCTGTCTCAAAATATTATATGGGGCTGGGTAAGTGGATTGGTGCGAAGATCCTGGGTTCAATTCCCAGTACCACCACCACCAAAAAAAAAAAAAAAAAATCCCCAATTCTTTACTATCCCACATACCAGGAAACTTCTAAGGTACTAAAGGCACACTAATCTGTGGGGAACCAGGCTAGAAAAGGCACGTCATGCACCATTAAGTTCAGGACGACGTTTAAGGAAGGGGAGTCTGAACTTGTGGACCCAGTCTTAGGGGGTCCAGGATGGACTTTAGAGAGCACTGGTATTGCACCTACATTTCCCTGGGAAGTCAATCTGGAGGAATCGACCTTAAGGCCGAGAAGATAGAACTATTGCCTTGAGGTCTCGCCCATGGCCACGTTCTCATTACTGGAAAAAAAGATAAGGACAAGCCTAATACTCCTTTCTCAGATGCCTGAGGAGGGAGAAAAGCTCCTGGAATTGAAGTAGCTGCGGTAGACGTACGGCCCCTACATAGGGAGCGGCCACGGGCCCTACCATCATCGCGGGGTATTTGCATTTCCGGGAGTGAGGTATTGTGGGGCTAGTAGTCCAGATTGTGGCGCGGCTACCGGCTGCTGATTCCCCAGAACTACATTTCCCGGCAAGCCCCGCGCAGCAGCTCGCTCGAACCGTGCGCAGAGTTTATCAGACTTCCGGACGAGTTGGGGGCGGGCAGCGCAGAGGCTGGAGCGAGGCATCGGGATGCAGCGCCCCGGGCCCTTCAGCACCCTCTGCGGGCGGGTCCTAGCCCCACTGCCCGGGCGGGCCGGGGGCGCGGCCTCTGTCGGAGGCGGGAACATCTGGGGCCTCCCGGGCTCCCACGTGCAGCTGCCGGGGCGTGTACAGTCTGGGTCTGTCGGCTCGGGAAGCACTGTCGCTAGCGGCCAGGTCTCTCACAGTCTCTGCCCGGCTCCCACGACGATGTCCAAGGCTGAGGAGGCCAAGAAGCTGGCGGGCCATGTGGCCGTGAAGAACCATGTGAGGGTGAGCAGCTCGGGGCGTGAAGGGTTCGTGGTCCGCGCGGAGTTCTGCTGGGCGCGCCTGGTTCTTGGACGGCTGGGACTGCGGGAGAGCGGGGAGGGTGAACGCTTGACCGAGTTCCGACCTCTCTTCCCTGCTCCTGAAAGACCTTTTAGATGTGGAATCGGTTGGGAGCAAGTCCCCTAAAAATCGAGCTTTCTTGTCTTAGGAACACACTTTGCGAAGTGGAGCCTGGCTGTATTCTGATGTTTGGAGTGGGGATTAGAGGCACTTGCCGCGTGGCCTCCTTGTCATGAAATAGAAAATGGTGAGCCTTTAGGCTGTCTGGAGGTCTTTACTTCTTGTTGTCCGGCGGAGAGCCAGTTTATAAAGTGCTTAGAAACTTCTCTCCAACCTTGGCGCGCGGGTTCTCGAGTGGCCTGGCCAGAGGCCAGTAGGGGAATGCCAGGCTTTAAACCTTTTTCTTTGATATCGCTGGATGGTCACTTGACATTTGCAGGATGCCAGTCTTTAAGATGGAACTGAGGAGATGGTTAGCAATTAGTAAGTTCGTGGCTCTACTCGTTTGTTAAGTGACAGATGTGGTACTGTTAGTGGCTGGCGTCTTTAAACCCAAGTATGTTTGCTGTCACCAGCCAAGTTAATTATCTGAATTACAGCACCCCAGCGGGAGCCAAGTGGAGTATTTCTGCCCTGTGGTGGAGTTTCCTGGCCTTGTTAACTTTTTGTTCCTGTTTTCTACTTCTGAGGTAGTGGTATTAGATTCCCTTTTTTCCTTTCCTGCACAAAGTTACAAAGACAGCGTCCTTTGAGCCGCAGTACTGCCTGGTTATGTGGGAGAGGCCAGTGCGATACCCTGTGGCTCAGCCCGTTCTGTAAAAGGAATGGCTAGACCAAGTCACTCTTGTTCCAGTGCCCTTCCACCGGTTCCTTTCTGGTATAGCTTTGTCAGCGGACAGGATCTAAGGAGGTCCCCAAAGTGGATATGGGGACCCTAGACTCACCCTCCCCACAGAGTAAGTTAGCTGACTCCTATTTCGAAAAAAGAATTTTCAGGACTGGTGTGTAAGAGACATGCAAGGGAAAGATTCCTTTAGGAAACAAAAGTACACACTTGGAGTGTGGGTGTTTAGAGGAGATGCATTTTAGTCGGGATATGGAGTGAAATCTGTGGAACATGTGGATCTATGGAAAGAGGGGATTCAATTTACAGATGAAAGATGATGGGCCAGGGATTTGGGGGTTTCCCTAAGATCGGTTATCTAGGATGTATATTCTAGGGTCTGTTGGGTTTGCTCATTTGGTGGACTAAAATGCAAAGCATTTACTTGTGTTTGAAGCTGAAATACATAGTGAACAGGGGTTGTTAGGAGGGAGCACATTTGTGGGTGAAAGTCAGGTTTATAAGCTTATTGTCCCCAAGGCTCGTAGGGATTTTTCTTGGGTTTGTGTCCTAAAGCTGCAGTGTTTATGAAAAGTACAATTTAAAAATTACCAATTTTCCTTGTCTTCTTTTCTGCCTATCTTTATTTCTTCTATCCTGTGTCGGCTTGTTGCAACTCTGGTTAGCAATAGGATTTTCTATAGGAATTAAGAGATACAATGTAAAATATATAGTTTTGCCCTAAGTTTGGGATTCAGTAGCACAGCTATAAAGTTTGGACAGTAAACCGAAATTTTAAAGTATTTGAATTGTTAATAGATGGACAAAAAACCCTATACAATTAGAAAAGCTCAATATTGAAGTTGTCCTGCTACCATATTAATACTTGATGGCGCATGTCTCTCAGACCTTCGTTTTATAGTTCGTATTTGGTTAAATAATCTTCATACCCTCGTTTCAGATGGTATTCCTTCCCAAATCCACTGGATTCCAGCCACATTATTTAAGTGATCATGGGGACACCTCCTTTGGTCTTTTGAGAGCATCTATTGAAAACATATGCCTTTCAAGGTTTGATTCAAAGTCCATTTCCTATTTTCAGCTTTTCCTTAACTTCCTAAGGAGAGGAGGATTTCTCCTGTTTCCATATACCTAAGTGCTTAATGTTGGTGGCTTAGACCTCTGTGTGTTTGTCCCTCTCAACCCCGTAAAGGATAAGCTCTGGAGGAGAGTTAACTTTATCTTCAATCAGTGCTGGCCACCGTGAGACCTGCACATTAAATGTTCACTGAATTAATTGCCTGCAGTGTGGACTTATATATGGAGGTTGTGGGGTTATTGGTGGCCCTTTGTTTAGAATCTTTGGGATGGAGGGTTCCTAACCCATATTGGTGTTCCAGTTTGGTGACTAGTTCCATTTCTGGGCGTATAGAGAAATCTCAGCTGAGTCCTTTGTATCCTTGGGTCCAGATCTGTTTGTTTCTGAGGGTGTAGTTACCCAAAACTGTTGACTCTGTAGGACTGTGCTCTCCTGGAGGTCTGTATATGGCCTTACTCTTTTGTTCTCTGTGGCACCTGAGCTTTGGTTTTTGACTGGTTTAGTCTAAAGCTTGTGGGCAGTGGCAGCAGTCCAATTATTCAGCAGATGTAGTATTTCCAAGGTTAATCGGACAAGGTGAGTTGTACATAGGACCATATATGGGTTTTTTTGGTACCCGGGATCAGGACCATATGGTTTAAAAGGGCCTTCTGCTTGTTGGGCCACCTTGGAAGCAGCCTTTGGTTATCTCTGACAGGCTTTGACTCCTGGACCAGTCATTTGGTTCCAAGGTAGCAATAATGTAGGAAAGATAAAACTCCCAAACTGCTTGATGTCAGATGTGCTGAGTTCCTGTTGTCTAAAATTGAAGAAAGAATTTCAAAGGACAAAGGAGGTTAAGCATAGGAAAGGTTAATTGGGGAATAGGAATAGCTCCTGAGAGACAGGAGGGATCCATAGTGGGTTGGTGCCAAGGTCATCTCTTTGAGAATGTTTTGTGGGTACAGTGTGGGCCAAGCTATAATCAACCAACAATATTATAAATATAACCTGTTAGCTACTATTGATCCAGTAGGGAAGTAGGGCAATAGCAAGGGCATGTGGATGACATCATTAATTTTAGTCCAAAATCTGTAGTTTTTAGTCTTAGTCCTAGTCTTAGTAGGTGGGAGAGGGTGGCCCAGTGAGATAATGGTCTGTTTCTATGGGAAATCCCAAAAGGGTGGTACCAAACAGTATAATCTCAAGCTTCTGTTTATGCCTTAGGGGAAGCATGTAAATCTGGCCATTGTGACTTTAATCTCAAGGTCTTGCCCTCTTCTTATGTGCCTCCAGCCACAGTTGTAATGTGTTTTCACCTTCTGCACCAACTCCCCCAGGGCATAGTCCTAACTGCCTATTAATTTCTGTCTAATTTAGCTGCCTATAATAACAGGAACCCATGGTGTAAGAGTTTTGGGTCTAGCAGGTACCTGCAATTCCTGGTCTTTTCTAAAAGGCAAAGGAACTTTGTAAAGACCTTGTGTAACTCAAGTTCATAAGTAAATGCCTGCTGAGGAACCCTGTGGGTGACTTGAGTTACGGATATGCTTGACAATGAAGAATCTGGCAATCATATTACTGTTCTCAGCTTCAGGTCAAGTGTACCCAGGCCTTGAGAAATCAAGACATTTTCTTCATTGCTTCAAGGTTTTTACATGTTGAAATATTTAGCCATGTTGAAAGTTTTTGTGTTGTAATGTCTTACAATGATGTTCTTTCATTTACTTGTTTTAAAGTCCTTGTGCTTGGGGTTTGCTGAGGCAGCTAAATGACTGTTGGATGTGTTGCCTCCTTGAGACTGTTTTGGGTGGACTCTTGATCAAGGCAGTGCTGCTGATGGCCTAAGCCCTTCTGTGCATTTGGAATGGCAAAATAGGAAAAGTGTTTTCCAGTAGATTGAGGATAGATACTGATGAAGTCTTCTGTAGTTAAGAGAAGCCTACTAGAAGCATTTTCATTATATAAGTGTGTGGTTGGGGACATTAGCATTTGGTTTGTGTGTGTGTGTTTTTTTTAAAAAACTCAATTCTCTGGCCGGGGATTTAGCTCAGTGGTTCCACCACCTGCCTCACAAGCACAAGGTCCGGAGTTCAATCCCGGATAGTACCAAAAGAAAAAAATAATGGTCAAATACTCAGTTCTCTTTGTTGGCCATTCTTTTTACTCTTTAGTTTTAGCTGTACTCTGACTTTAAGAAGGATCACATTAAGTATGAGGATTAATATTTTACTGCTGTATATTCCTCAGGCTTTTGTCAACTAGGGAGTGAAGCATTTGCCCTGAGACTGTTTGTCCTGAGGAGTTTCCAGGACTTTCCTTCTTTCTACAAAGAAAACTTCACAATGGGCTTTCGCTTGCCAAAATGAATTGTTAATCAGTTGTTGGAACTTTTAAAAAATCTAAAATGCAATGCTGTTTCAGCAAATCTAACCTCCTGAAATTGGTTAGATTTCAGGGAACACTAATAAATAGTGAGACTTATTCAAAGTGAGATTGTGTGTGTATGTTGTGTGTGTATGTGTGAATTGATTCTGTTAAAAGATTTTTTAAAAAGGTAAAATCACGATACTATTGTGGATAGGTAAGTTAATTAGATACCTTGCAGGCAGTTAGACAAGGCCAGCCCTGTCTAAGAGCCAACTCGGGAGGAGTCAAGACACATTCACTGAAAGCCAGCATTGTAAAAGAAGAGAAAATACCACACCCTCACAGGATGAATAGCAGTGGTTGATATTTTAAGTAGGTATCAATCACCTGATGGGGGAACAGATCTTCCAAGAAAGATCTCTGACCCACGCCTTACTGAAAATCCTTGCTCATTCCTTACATGCTTGCTACATGACTTGTTTCCCCATTGGATCCCCATTTAATCAGTATTACCTAAGCACTATACTCGTTGTGATCTTATTGGTTGATCATAGTTTTGCCCACCTTGTGATTTCTCATTGGATCAGTATTACCAAGCAACTGTACTTAAAATCTTTCTTACTAGTTGACTATAGTTTTGTCCCACCTTGAACCCACCTCACATCATGGCTTTGTCCCATAAAATACCTTTGAGAAGTTGGGTGAATGGTAAGCCATTTTCCGGTCCCCCTTCTATCAATAAATTTTTCCTACTTTTTTTTTTTTTTTGGTACTGGGGATCGAACTCAGGACCTTGAGCTTGCAAGGCAGGCGGCAGCACCACTGAGCTAAATCTCCAGCCCAATTATTCCTACTCTTAACCTAGAATTCATTCTTCGATTTTAGAGAACACGCACTTGCGCTTCAGATACCTAGCAGGTTTGGGAGTTACATCTATTCCCCTTATATCAGTACAGCTATAAAATGAACATACTAGGATTTTGTTTAACTCATGAAACTAATTGGGAACTGGAAAAGATGTTAGAACTTGTTCTCAGGTATCTTAGTCCATTTTCCTGCTATAATAATACCTGAGACTTGCTTATTTATAATGAACAGAAATTTATTGACTCACAGTTCAGGAAGCTGGGAAATTCAATATTAAGTTTCTGGCACCTGGCAAGAGAGAGACAGCGAGAAATGATAGGTAGCTATCGGTACTGTCTATGGGCACCAGTCCCATTGTGAGTGTGGAATCTTCACAGCTAATCACTTCCCAAAGGGCCCTCCTCTTAAAAGAGCCGCCAACTTTGGATGGTTTGACATAGGAGCGTGAAGCCATATACATTCAGTAGAAACTGCGCTTTGAGTTTTGCATTTTGATCTTGTCCTGGGCTAGTGCTCTGTGGCAGGATAAGCTTCCAGGATGCTGTGAGCTGCACCTCCCAGTCTGCCACAGGATCCCAGGAGGACGGAACCTGTGTGTGGTGTTGCTAAGCTGGGATGTTCTGAAGGTCAGTTGTGTGTTTGACCGAGGGTGTTTTCAAATTCCAATGGATTATGGACATAACTTTGTTTTAAGTCAAGGAGCATCTGTACTGTTATTGTAAAAGACAGTGTGGTTAGTTAGGTTAGGAATAGACAGCTGGAAAGAGAAAGGGCCTGAGATGGAGTTGGGTGATCAGCTGCCTGGATAAGAATTAAAATAAGAATAGGCAGTGAAACTAGGACTTTGACAAGGAGGTCTTCAGGCCATGGGGAATATAACCCCTACCTGCTTAGGAAAGTACAGCCCCTCCCCTTTAAGTTTCTGAGTTTCAAGAAATTTAAAACTACAGAGTAAGCAGTTTGTTTGTTTTTTTTAAATCCCAGTTTCCTTTGAATTCTGCATGTAACTAGTTTAAAGAGCCTGAGTTCCCATTGGTCATTTTAAACCCACAGAGCTGCCTGTGATAGGTGGTCACTAACCGATTGATTGAGCCATTCACAAGTGAGGGGCCACATAGTCCCCCACTTTATGGGGCCCCTCATACTTTGGACAAGAATTATTTGCTCTGTTGAAAGTTTTCCACAAGTTAAAGTCTTGTCAACTAGCATAGACTCTTACATGGTCAGATAATACAGGCAAGTTGTTAGCATTCTGTTGAAAAGATATCCAGTACCAAAAAAAAAGATATCTAGTAATCTCTTGCTTATTTCAATTTTTCCTTATAATGTTGAATTAATACTAAAGTTGAGACTGTAGGTCATAAGGGATTATTGTGAGATATCTTTATATTAACATTTATAAGTCCTTTTGGTTGGTACTTAATAAATATTAGCTGCTGCTTTGGTTTTAGTTGTTTTCCAACAGCTGGACATGGCCCATATTAGTTCCTGACTACTCATTAATCCCTGGCCTTGTTTTGCTCTTTGTAGTTGGATTGGTCTGCTCATAGGTTCCTTCCCCTTTTCTTAAGATTGAAGGCTAAGTATTGTGACACATGTTTCATGTCCTCTATGCTCAGGAAGTGCTCTACATCTATTGCACATTCTTGTTGCAGGTGAAGACTATATCCTATGTTCCTTGCTAAGCTTTTACCTGCTTCCCATTTTCTCTGAGACAGGCATATGTAAACGAGGACTCCCTTGGTATTGATTGGACAGATGCTGATGTGACATACTATTTTGATGTTACTTTAGACCCTTCCCTCTTCTGTTGGGGCAGGGATGGGCCTGATGTGTTCCTGAGGTTTCCTGTGCTGTTAGCAACTTGAAGTTGCCCTGCTTTCTTTCTTTTTTTTTTTTTTTGGTACAGGAGATCAAACTCGGGTCCTTGCTTCCGAGGCAGCCGTTGGAACCACTGAGCTAAATCCCCAGCCCATGCCCTGCTTTCTAAATGTAAAACTTGTGTGAAGCCAGGAAACCCAGCTTTCCACACCCACCTAGGGTCTGTTGTCTTTTTCTAGAGCCCTTTCTTTCACCCTTCACTGGGGTTGGCCAGTAATCTTCTAGGGTTTATCTGTGGCTGTAAAGTTCCTGTATGGTATAATTGAGTCAATTGTTTGTTTGGCAGAATATACGGGAGGGAGCGGTGATGTTAACAGTGTCAGCAATGAAAGTGTGAGGGCTCTGTTGATTAACTGCCCACTGGGCACCAGGATAAAGTACAGCTTTGAAGTTCAGGGGTCATGTGTCTGTAAAATAGGTATAGGACCGACTTTGCACCTGTCTTGGTGAATTGCTATTCATAATAATTTTGTAGCTCTAGGAAAAGGATACAGTGGAATAAAATATGGTATTAATTTTTTTCTTCTTTCCTTTTTTGGCAGAATAACCAAGTACTGGGAATCGGAAGTGGTTCTACAATTGTCCATGCTGTGCAGCAAATAGGTATGTTCTCGGCCTGTGCACTTTGTACCTGGTGACAATGGTAGGGAGAGAAGAGCGGAGGAAATGGGGCATGGTTTGGCTCCAGCAGTACAGAGCTGGGGATCCTTGACTGCTTGCCTGAGGTCATTTGAGTGTTTCTGCTTTTCTCAGGAAAGGGAGATTCTTGGTCTTTGGGGGTACCCTTGCCTTTGTTTACTCTGTTCTGCTTCTAGGGTGGAGGACGGGGGTGGTGGAAGACAGGACTGACCTGGAAGAAAGTAGGAATACAGCTGGTGGTGGTAGGAAGGCCAGGGAGAACTGACTTAGATGAAGCCACACAGAATTTCAGTCATGTTGGTGGTGTACTCCCTTCAGGGATCCTTTGTTGTGGTCTCAAGCCTTCTATGAAGCCTGTGGGTTCCTCAGACAAACAAGTTGAGGTCACAGTGGGTTTGGCCTGTCCTCAACCCTGGAGTAGATGTGGGGAAAGGCTGCACTCCGATTGAGTTGTCTCTGTGTACAGGAAAGGCACAGGAATGATCAGCCCTGTGGCTGCCCAACAGGTTCTACTGCTCTGCTCTTTGTAAAAACAAAGCCCAGAGGAAGGGTTTACCTGAATTCTGGTCTCTTCTAGGTGCCAAGAGGCAGGGCCCAGGAGGTGAAATTCAGGTTCACCTGGTCATTGAGAACTGGTTGTTTTTGTGATGGCTTCTGGGAGCCTTCCTAGGGCCAGGCAGGAGCTGTAGTGCTGTGTACCTTTCTACTTAACCAAGTGTGTGGGGAATTTTAGAGCATGAGAATTACTATGGACTTCATAAGAGCGGCGCCTATGGGCTGCGAATTTAGCTAAGTGGTTCTGCTGCCTGCCTTGCAAGCGCAGGGACCCAAGTTTGATCCCTGGTACCCCCCCCCCCCCAAAAAGGAGTGGCGCCTAAACCTTCCAGGATGCAGATTAAAATGACTCGAAATTTTAAGTTTTTTTTAAATGACATATATATTTTTTTCTTTTTGATTTCTTTGAAACAAGGTCTTGCTGTGTAGCCTAGGCTGGTCTTGAACTTGCCTTAGCCTCCCTGCTGTTGGAATTACATACATGTGTCACTATGCCCAGCTTACGACATGTGTTTAGTATATGTGCTGCCGAAGCGAGCATAATGAGATGTTTTAAAATTAAACTTTCCTGAAAGTTTAAAGTAAAATAAGCAAATCCAAAATGAATAAACATTCATTCTAACTATCCTCTGGGGCCTGTGGAAGATTGTATTTTTATTAAATACAAAAGTAAAGTTGTAACTGTCTTGGAAAAGGCAATGTAAGGCAGTGGTTAATAAGACTGTGAAGCTAAACTGCCTAGGATCATATGCCAGCCCTGCCACTTAGAACTAAAGTTATATACTTTTCCTCTTTGTGCCTCAGTTTCTTCATCTGTAAAATAGAGATGATAATCAGAACTTACCTCTTGGGTTGTTAGGATTAAAACAGCTCATCCAGATCATTATTTGTTCAATGTTGGTTTTGGGGACTTTTCTGAAACAAATCACATCCTCTGGTGTCTTGTTGGTGCTTGAGATGCTTTTTTAAGTTATAGGGAAAAATGTTTAAGTGCTTTTCAGTTTTGTTTTGGTTGAGTTCTACTGTATTTGAATATTATTGTAGTTTTTTTCCCCTTGCATTGTTCTTCTTTGAATGGTTTTAATTTTTTGTATGTGTGTGTTTGATAATAAAGTTATTTTAAAAAAAACAAAAACAGCTCATTTACACAAAGTTCTTAACCTGTCACCAGGCTCCTAGCAATAGCAAGCACTAACATTGCTCTTGCTGTGGCCAGTGCTCACCTCCTTGTTTCCTAGTGTACCTGCCACTAGTTTTCTCATCCCGCCTGGGGAGGGACACAGAATTTGAACAAATGGACAAGAGACAAGAAAAATAAAGTGAAAAGGGTGAAAAATCACCACTCTGACTTTTGTCTTCACAGCTGAAAGAGTGAAGGAAGAGAATCTGAGCGTTGTGTGCATTCCTACCTCCTTCCAGGTAAGTCCTGCTTTCCGCTCTGTGTCTTGGCAGCTGCTGCTCAATCTCCTGGTTCCCTGAGGATGTGGATGCCTGGCTTTGTGTTGTACCTCTGGATTGTTCTGGGTGAGAGGGCCAGGCACAGGAGAGGAGTTTGTTGACCGATGCTTGTCTTTTGGAAATGTGGTTTAGATGTGCTCATCTATTCATCCAAGAATGTTTCAGTGGGTCTTGAGTTCAGGCACTATGGAGTACTCAAAGGTGATCGTGTGGGCCCTGCCTCAAGGAATACAGAAAGAAGTATCCCTACTCTCAGGTGAAAAATCTTGAGGCTAAAAGGAATCAATTAAGGTGTTAGTAATGCAAGTATAGTCTTTTGAGTCTATGTCTCATGTTCTTTCATCAGTCGTAGGAGCTGGAGGAAAGAGTGGAGCCAGTTAAAGATCAGGGGAGATAAGGAAAGACGCAGAGACGCTGAGAAGTAGAGGGTGAGAGATGACTCAGGCAGTCCTTTGACTCTTTAGAGAATTCTATTTTAAATTTCTTTGAAATTTTGAAGACATAGCTATGCCTTCTAGTTTTTAATTTGCTGTTGAGGAGCTTCATACCATTGGGATGTGTGATCCTTTGTATGAAATGTATTTTTAGTCTTTTCAGAGGCATATACCCTTTAGTGATCTTTCTTCAGTGTGCTGAAAACACCATGATTATGTCTTGGGGCTCCTTGAATCTGGCTGTATTCACGTAATGTTTGCCAGTGAGACATGACCCAGTGAGATGCCAGCCGAGGTTTTAAAACTGTGTTTTCTCTTTAGCACTGGAGACTGAAACCAGAGTCTTTGTACTGAGCACATTTTCAGCTCCCCCCCTTTAAACATTTTTTTAATTTTAAGATGAGACAGCGTCTCATCAAGTTGCCCATGCTTCTCAGAGTGTTGGGATTACAGGTGCATGCCAACATGCCTGGCTCCCAGCTTTTTATTCCTGAAAAGGGTCTTGCTTAATTGCCTAGGCAGGACTTCAATTTGTGATCCTTCTGCCTTAGTCTCCAAGAGTGCTGGGATTATAGGTGTGTGCCACCATCCGGAGCTTTGAAAAGTGCTTTTGCACTGGGCCTTGGTCTCTTGGTACTGGAATATTCTGCCACCATGTGAATAAGGTGAGACTCAATGGCTGGGGGATGAGAAGCAATGTGGAGAGTGGTTCCAGGCCAGTGAGTGGGGTCTTCTGACACAGCACCTAGTTGAGAAAATTTTGCAGTCTGTCTATGAAGTCTTGAGAAATTATAAATATGTGCTCTTTCTGTAATGCCTCTGAATTTCAGGGTAGCTACTAGGTAGCAAAAGCTCCCTGGTAGAGAATACTCTTGTCCTCAGCTATGGTTGGCACCGTAGTCCTAAGACCAGCCATTTTTCCTTTTTTAGGAATCAACGTGTTGCTTTGGGAGGGATATCATGTTCTTTTTTTTTGGTACTGGGGATTGAACTTGGGACCTTGCACTTTCGAGGCAGACAGTGGAACCACTGAGCTAAATCTCCAGCCCGGGATATCATGTTCTTAAGTAGACTTTGCACCAGTCTTATATGATTTCTGTTTGTAACACTACCTCCTGAATCTTTTGAGAGGTCCTTGATGTAGGTTTGGTTGTTTTGTAGCTATCTCCAGTACTGCCCTAGTATAACCTCCTTATTTCTGCTGCTTAACGTCCATGAGTGGTTATATTAGTCAATGCTCTGCAGAAACAACCAGTAGAATATATTAATTATAAGAGGGGATTTATATAGTCCCATAATGCCTATCTGCCGCCTGAAAATCCAGGGAAACTGGTCTAGTAGCTGGCTGCTTTGTTCAAGAAGGTGGGTGCCTCAGATCTAGAGGATCAGTGAAGCAGCCCTAGTCTGAGGGCTGACAGCAGAACAGAATACCCCACACCTGCTCCAAAAGTGCAGCGTGTGCCTAGAGTAAGTGCCCCCCTTGAACTGCTTTCAATTTCCATTGGACCCCCCAGCCATTCAGGACACATACCTGCATGGCCCACTGGCCAGTCCTCTCTGGACACACCGTCACAGACACACCCAGAAGTGTGCTTTGCTAGCTTTCTAGGCAGCCCTCAGCCCAGGCAAGTTGACAGCCCATAGTAACCATCACATCCCAACTTTTAAAAGTCTGCTGCTGTTTTCTTTTGCCAGGTTTATACCTTTAAGAAAAATTGTGTTATTGTTGTTTTAAAGTGGTTTTGGGGCCTTTCAGCTGGAACCGACATCTTCCAGTAATTTGCCAAAATGATGAACACAAAGGGAAAGATGGGGGGAACCCAGTATATGTTCTCTAGGCCTTTTAGAAAACGGGGTTGTTCCTTTGGCCACATACATGCAAATCTACAAAAAGGGTGATATTGTAGACATCAAGAGAATGGGTACTGTTCAAAAAGGAATGCCACACAAATGTTACCATGGCAAAACTGGAAGAGTCTACAGTGTTACCCAGCATGCTGTTGGCATTGTAAACAAGCAAGTTAAGGGTGAGATACTTGCCAAGAGGATTAATGTGTGTATTGAGCATATTAAACACTCAAAGAGAGGAGATAGCTTCCTGAAATGGGTCAAGGAAAATGATCAGAAAAAGAAGGAAGCCAAAGAGAAAGGTACCTGGATTCAACTGAAGCACCAGCCTGCCCCATCCAGAGGAGCACACTTTGTGAGAACCAGTGGGAAGGAGCCTGAGTTGTTGGAACCTATTCCCTATGAATTCATGGCATAAGCTGGGGATGTACCTCTGCCATGCAGCACCTAATTAGCAGCTGAATGCCCCAATCCCTACTTCAAAATAAAAAATCATCCTGTGTTGTAAGGATGGTTTTCTTAATTGAAAAAAAAAAAAATAAAGTGGTTTTGGGAAAGAGCTGAGCTAAATGTAGGTGTTCAAATTGCTAGCTTCAGAGTTTGTGCCGGCTTTTTTTTTTAAACATAACAGTCTCCTAACCCCCCTGTTCTTAGTGATAATTGATAACACTACCTAGACAGGAAAATGCTGGCCAATTCCAGTTAATTAGGTGGAGTCATTTGAAGTTCACAAGGCTTGAAAAATTCGCTTATCTAGTTACTCTCCTTACTCCCCTGCCCAAACTTATTTTGAGTTAAGTTTAGCCAAATGGAATCTCCTGAAATGGTTGAACGGAAATAAAAATATTTTTGCCCTACCTTTCTTTTGCTTTTTTTGAGACAGGGCCTTCCTATGTAGTTCAGGGTGGCCTTGAACTCACTGTGTAGCCCAGGCTGGCCTCAAACAGTGATCCTCCAGCCTTAGCCTCCTGAGTGCTGGGATTATAGGCATGGCCATCACACCCAGCCCATTGCCCTACTTTTTAAACAAGTTAAACTTAAAAGGATTTCAATGATTTTGGTAGATTTTCCCTTTAAAGCTGAAGGCTTTTGGAAGAGAAAAATAAGGCATTTGCAAGCCAGATCTGATCTGAGCCCACATGAGCTTTTATTATTCACTCTGCCTTCATTTTTCTACCTTGATTGGTGTTAAAAGGAAAATGCACCATTTTTAGGTTTTATTATAGAATTCATGGGAACAGAAAACCACTTAACTTGCTTGCCTTGTGCCACTGGTTTGGGGGCACAGCTGTGGGACTGCCCAAGAAAGCGTTGTTTCCTCTCTTCAGGAGCACAACCTGGTCATTCGCTTTTCTGCTCTGTACAACTTCTGGCCTCTGGCCAGAAGGGCCAGCGTGTTTGCTGCACACCTTTGGGAGACCCCTCAGCTTCCTGGCTGAAAACATGGGTCTAGCAGGTACTGGTCTCAGTTGGTCAACTGAAGCTTCGTTGTGCTGACTGAGCCGGTGATGGGTTGCAACTCCTGCAGTAGGCATGTGCTGTGAAAGTCAGTGTGTTGACCAGAACAAGTACCACAACTGAGTGGGCTTACAAATGAGACATTTCTTGTCTCCTAACTCTGAAGGCCAGAAGTCCAAGATCAAGGTGCTGGCAGTGTTTCCTTCTGAGGCTGCTTCCTCCAGCTGCAAAACCAAAACTAAGTTGTTATCTGACCTTCCAAGAACTCAGAATAAGGTGTAACAGCAGAGTTTCTTAATTAAGCAGGCCAGTTTCAATTGGCATAGATATTGAAGTTGTTCTGCTTTAAACAAAAAAGTACAAATGATTCTACTGGATTATTTCTCAGTTCCTACATGTACTATTTTTATTTTTATTTTCCCCATTTTATATTTCTCTTTAATAAAAACAAAATCATGAGGTTTTAAAATTTATTTTATTGTTGTTATTATTTTTTATTTTTGGAGACTGAGTCTTCTTAAGTAGTCCAGGTTGGCCTTGAGCTTGAGATCTTCCTGCCTGAGTGCTAATGATTATGGACATGTTGTCACCATGCCAAGCAATGAGTTTTTTAAAAACATATTTCAGTCAGCATTTTATTTTAGTTTTTTATTCTGGGAAATTTCAAACTTCAAGAAGGATAAAGAACAATAAAATGAATTTCAGGGTACTGACCATGAAGCTTCAGTTATCAATTTGTGGCCAGTCCTGTTTTGTTTGCATCTAATCCCCTTTATCCCTGTTATTTTGAAACAAATTCTAGGGATAATTTTATTGTGTGTACTTTGTTATGTCTCTGAAAAATGAGGCATCTTCTAAATATGACAACAATATTTAAAAATTAAAAATATCCTTAATAGCATCAAATAAAAACCTAGGGTTCACATTATCCTTTAAATTTTAAGTTTGACTCAGAATCCCAAATAAGACCTACGTATAGCAAAACTTACACATAGTATTTTATTCTCAGAGTGATAGGATTTTGGATTAGAGGGCTGGCCCTGATCATTTCATTCTTTTTCTTTCTTCTTTGTGGTGTGAACCCAAGGCCTCACATAGGCTGAACAAGCACTGTGGAACTGGGCCACAACCCTAACTCCGATCTCTCTCTTCTTGAAGAGGAGAAAACTTGCCAAGGCCCTATGGCATGTTTATCTAATTTTAATTGGTACATAATCATATATATTTATTGGGTGCAATGTGATAATGCAATACATTTTTTTTTGTTTTTGAGGAACCTCCATATTTCCTGCAGTGATTGTACTAACATACATTCTCATCAACACTGTACAAGAGTTCTTGGGGCCAGGGATTTAGCTCAGTGCTGTCACGCCTGTCTTGTAAGCACAAGGTCCTGAGTTTGATTCCCGGTACCAAAAAAAAAAAAAAAAAAAAGTTCCTTTTCTTTGCATTGATTATTTAAGATTAGAACCTACACCTGAATCTTAATCACAGGTGGTTTTCACTTTAAGCAGGAAATATTTTGAAGGAATGCCTTTGGGGAGAAGTTTTCCACTCTTGGTTTCTCTGTATATTGTAAGTAACGCTGTGAACACAAATCCTCCTCACGTGGACCTGGGTGGACAATTGTAAAGCTTCACAGTACCATTATTTTAGTGAGGACTCCTGCTTAGGGCCAACTTTGAGGCATGTCTCTAAAGTAAATGGTGCTTTGCTCAGAAGTGTCCTAAATCTCTCCTAATCTGGTGTTCTAAATTTTCAAGTTCCTCACTTAACTATTCCAGAAGTCTGGCCTCTGTATACTCTTCTGAGTGTGTGTATTCCCTTGCTTAGTTTTCCTCAACAGTGTGGCCTTGAAATCACTGTCACTTCATAGTTATCTTCAAACTTTTCTGTTGCATTGTTCTAAAAATTTTTCAGTATTTTGTGGTTTTGGTTCTTAGAAAATTTTTTACAGCATGTATACCCAGAAGTTTTAGGAGGCCATAACATTGTTTGAAGCAGCAAGTCCTGGCATAGGACTCTTAGCTCAACACTGGAACATGGCTTCACTGTATGCTGTTTGCCTCTTCTAGCTCCCAGGATGAAGTAATTGGCAGTTAGCTTTGCTGTTGGTGGCGCTGTATCTCTTCCCTCTTGGCAGGGCAGGATGAGATGTGAGAAGGAGCATGGGTCAGGCTTATACTGTTTGATACTTAAATACAAAAAATATTCTGAGACTCTTTGCTCTGGGTTCAGAGCAAATGATGATGGGACCTTTTTCCTGTGCTCCCTAGGCCCGGCAGCTCATCCTGCAGCATGGCTTAACACTCAGTGACCTGGATCGACACCCAGAGGTAAGAGAGAGACTACTGTGCCTTTCTCCTTTTGTGGCTGTCACTTGTTCATGAGCTCCAAATATCTTGCCAAGTCTAGGGAAAAAGACTATTGAGTCCTACTAACTTTTCCTCTGGGATCCTGAGTATTAATTCTGGCTAAAGTCTTAAGTGGAAAAGTGATTTCCAGTTTCACTGTGACTTGACCCTGAGGGCTCAGCCTGAGGGCAGTGAAGGGGAGTGGAGAAGCCCAGTGCTGGACCCAGGGCTTGCTTTCTCCTGCGGCAGGCTGTGGAGCTCATCACTGGAGTGGAGAGGAGAGGTCATCATTGGAGGCAGACGTACACATTTTGGAAAGTGATTAACATTAAGTTCTGCAGGAAACATTGCTAAACACAGGGGCAGCCTATAGCCACTGGAAGTGATAAGGGTGAGCAGCATCACACACTTAGCGCTTTCTGGGCCATTATTATGTATCAGATATTGTGCTAAGTGCTCTTCTTGTACCAAGATCTTTAATCTCCAACAGCCTGGAGGGTGGGTACCATAATTATCCCATTTTATGGATGTGAAGAAGGCACAGAGAGGGTAAGTCATGTGTTTAAGGCCATACTGTAAGTGGCAGAGCCAGATTTAGAACCCAGTGCGTCTCTGGTCCAGGGCATTAGTAGAAGAGTTTTGAGGGAAGAGGTAGTTTGAGCTGAGCTATAAAGCCTGTCGGGCATCGGGAGGAGAGGACCTTCCTGAGAGGTAGGTAGGGATTATAAGCTTTGTGGGCTTATGTGAGCAGCACTCAGACTTTGTAGGGGTGATTTGGACTGAGTGGAATGCATTGGTGCATAGTGGGGCAAGGGATTTGGTGTGGTCTAATGAGCCATGTCGCTGTGGGACATGGAACCCCCGGGGGTTAGTAAGAACCATGGGAAGGGCTTATGGGCTTTCTGTGGGCAGAGCTGGAGCACAGGGTGAATGAGCTGTTCTGCAGCTGTGAGGAGAGTGCTTTGGGCTGAAGGTGGGCCCCCAGCCAGACAGAAAAGGAGGCACCTTCCAGGTCCTGGAGCACTGCCCCAGTGCAGCCTGGCCCTAGGGTTAGTGGAGGCCAGGGGAGGAACAGTACAAGCTGCAATTTCAGGATGGGAACAAGGGTTCCCTGCTTAAAACTCTAGGCCACACCAGCCACATCAAGTAACTGCAACATGAATAGGATGGGTTTCTTACTTACATACTGGAACTCTCCATGTTATCCCTACAGAGTACCATAAGGGATGAGAAGGCCAGCTTCCTCGATTCTGATTCTCTAAAGATGAATGAATCCATTTGCCCTTGCCTGCTTTTGGGGCTGGCAATGGAGCCTCCTACTAGAGGTACAGGGCAAGACCAGGCAGTTGCTTTGGTGGGATCTTAGTGGGAATGCCTCAGGTGGTTTCTAATTCAGGAACATATCCAGTATGTGTCAGCTTCCTTATAGGCTCCTTTAACCTTCTTGTCCACTTGAAATTGCTCGTGTTTGCCCACTTAGTGCCAACCTCTGAATCAGTATTTGTCTTTTTTATTATTGATACCCCCCCCATGAAATTTAATACCACAGATACACTGTGTATCTCTTTATATACTTGAGGCCTTTAGAGGGCTGAGTACCATAATGTGGAAGGGTTTCTTTGCCATTCTTTGCCCCAGGAAGTGTTTATTTCTTTGGGAGTGATGCTACCTGCATTGAGAATACATGCTCTAAGCTTTGTGTCCCAGACCTCGAGCTCTTTCCCTGTGACCCTAGTGAAGTACCTTAATCTCTTGTAACCTCAGGCCCATGATTGCTTAAGTGGGAAACTGGACCTCACTAATAGGGCTGCAGAGGACCTGTCACTGCATGGCCAGACTCTGTATGGTGGCTCCACTTATGAGACTCTCAGAGGTCTCTTACCTTTCCTTTCCCTGGCACAGATCGACCTTGCTATCGATGGTGCTGATGAAGTAGATGCTGATCTCAACCTTATCAAGGGCGGTGGGTGAGTGTTTGAGAACTTTATTTCTAAAGACTCCAGTGTGTCCTTAGTAGAGCAAATGGAATACAGAATCACCAAATTGTCACCGCTGTGTATGTGAGTTTGTTTTTCTACCTGGACCTTATGACCTTTGCATCAGCTTGATGTTTCTGGTGAGTAGTGCCAGTCTGGTGACTGGGAACCTTGGCCTCTTCAGTGAGATTGTAGTGTCTGCATTCTTCTGCTGACTCAGAGTTTTAATCACTGCAGCGTAAATCGGCATATTACCTATCAGCTAGATTGTAGGCTTGTGGGCACCCTAGTGTGACCTTTGCCTTGAAGCTGCTCTTAGTCTGTGAGCATTTAGGGATGCAAATCATTCATTTGGAGACATTTATTGGGTGCTTCTTAAGTGCTACTTTCAGGAGTAGGGACTGGTGAGTAGAAAAGGTAAAATCCTAATTTGTTGGTTCTTAACAGTCAAGCAGATTAGTATTGAATGACAGTGTTTATTTAGAATCACACTTTAACATCTAAGATTTTATATGCATTGTGTAATCCTCCTGGCTGCTGATGTGAGGTAATGTGGCTGGTGAGCAGTAGAGATAGGCTGGACCAGATCTGATGATTCAGTGCCCAGGGCTCTCTCCACTCTATCACCGTCACACAGTCCACAGGGCAGGCTGTTCAAAGCTGGCCCTTGTCAGGTCTTGTCCAGGGGATGCTTTTGCAAACACAGTGCTTCTCACATGCATCTGGGAGGGCGTTATTCCTGGCCTGAATGGGACACATTGTCCTCTTTCTACGTTTCTTCCAGATACAGACTAATGTTTTTGTAGTCCATTTACTAGAAGCAGCACGCACAACAGGATTGAGGATGGCTCTTACAGTTACATTTCTCTGTAAGTGCCAGGATTGAGCAGATTTAGGTTTCCCATATCCGACCTTAGTTCCTAAATGGAGATTTTTGCCTTATTCCTGTATTTACTTGCTTCTTTCTCATCTTTAGGGGCTGCCTGACCCAGGAGAAGATTGTGGCTGGCTATGCCAGTCACTTCATCGTGATCGCTGACTTCAGGTAGGGTGCTGGGTGTTCTGAACTGCCCGCCGAGAAGGCAGTGTGGGGCTCACTCCTTACCCTGCACATAGAGGACAAAATGGAGGGACTGCCTGGCTTGCTGAGGCGGGTGGTGAGGATTTAGGCAGTGTGTTTGAGGGCTCAGTCCTGCTTCCATGCTGAAGGTGGGGACTGCTGTTGACTGCAGCACTCTTCCACAGAGCCAGGACCAGCGGTGTGATTGTGTGTTCATGGGGAGGGAGAGGAAGCAGTTTGTCACCCTGTTAGCAGAGCTCATCCTCGTGTGTCACTGATTACATCCTCACAGGGAGCCAAGGCAGTGACTCAGCATGCCCCACTTCTTCTGGGGTCAGGGCTGCTGCACTTGACTCAGGCCCTGACCAGCCTGCTGGGGCTCTCAGGTTCTCCTTCAAGGAATCTGGGAGGAGGGAGGCCCTTGGGCTGAGCATGTTAACTAAACAAAAGTATGTGTAATATGTATTTATTTATGGAATATTGAAGCAGTAGGAAAAAATAATACCTATACTTATAGATATATTAAGATAAATATTTATAATAAGCCAACCATATCAAATTTTAACATTTTTATCACATTTATTTCAAATATCTATTTTTTAAATAATAAAGCAGCCAATACCTTTGAAGCCCTGTGAATGCTATTTTGATCACTGTTTTGTCCTCCCACCACCTAATTCACTCCATTCTGGGACTTAGTGTTTGTACCATTGAGTTTATTTAATTTTACTATGCCTTTTGACTCTTTCTTCCCAGGAAAAATTCAGAGAACCTTGGGGATCAGTGGCACAAGGGGATCCCTCTTGAGGTCATCCCAATGGCCTATGTCCCAGTGAGCCGAGCTGTGACCCGGAAGTTTGGGGGTGCAGTTGAGCTTCGGATGGCCGTCAACAAGGCAGTAAGTGGCCAGGGAAGTTTCTGGAGGCCTTTCAGGCTCTCAGCATGCTGTTCTCCTGTCTGCTGCTGGTGGACCTCTGGAGACTTCATTTATTTTTAATATTTGTTTCTTTTTAGATAGCTGGCTTTCTTTGTTTCTGTATTCAACCTAAGGTAGATTAAAACCATACTTAACACAGTGCCTATCCCCTGTACAAAAAGAAGAGTGATTGTTTCTCCTGTCCCTTGGGATCAGACTTTTCTCAAGTGACCTGACCTATGTGTTTAAGGCCTGGAGCACCTGAAGAACAGCTGCTAAACCTGGCCTTTAGAGGTAGACTTTTCTTGGGATTACATGAATACCTCCTCAGGAATACACCCAAGACCCTTCAGTCCAGGTGTTTCTCTTCAGCTTCTAAAGTGGGTTGCAAAGAACATATATATATTTAAATAAGCAGTGGTAATAATATAAAACAAAACTATAGTTCTGTGTGTAACTATGTAAAAAGTTTGGAGGCTAGAGAAAAGAAATGGTTTGTATAACTATACCCTGATATTTTTATTTTGACTAGCTTTCTTCCCTGTGTTGACTTTTAAAACACCGTAGTCCTAATCCTAGTGGTTGTACAGGCTATGACTGATGCCGTGAGGCTCCCTGTGTAGCTGGAGGCCAGGAGGAGGTTGTGGAGCTTCTCTCTCAAGCAGAGGTTCACCCAGGCAGGAGCCCCAGCCCTCACCTAAAGTGAGTTCCTATGAGCTCCTGCCCCTCTTCCTCCTGTCTGCAGGGGAGCCTCAGAGCCTAGCCTGTGACCTTAGTGTTCTGTCAACATTTGTGACTCTGCTGCCTGTGTGGTCTTTGACTCTGTGTCTGCACCCTGTCTTTTTATAAAATATATTTTTTATTAGTACCTATTAATTTTATTCTATGTTGGGTTTTAATGTGGTATATTTCTATATGCAAGTAATAAATTCTGATCATATCCATCCCCCCATCCCTGCTTACACTGCCCTTCCACATGTTCCCTTTCTCTTGCCCAATGATAGTCTCCCTTTTACTTGCATCTCATCCTTTTTGAGTCCACATTCCCTGTCTTTTTGATGAAACTTCCTGATCAGTGTGAAGTTGTGATAGCTGAAGTAGCGTTGTCCTATTTTATAGTATTGATGGTACTTAACGTGAGGTTTTGAGAACATTGTGGCATGTTGGTAATTGGTTCTGTTGTAGTTTCTCCCTGTAATAGTAGCTCAGACTTGTTGAGCCCTCACTATGGGCCCTCACTGTGGTGAATGCTTGTGCACACCATTTACATGTAAGCTGTCTTGTGACATATGTATAATTGTCCACCTTTTACAGTTGTGAAATGTGAGGCTCACAGAAGGTGATAGTTCCTCTGAATTCCATACCTATGTGGCATTAATACTCAAATCCAAGTCTTTGTGACTAAAGCTCCTGCTTATTACTGCTTCACACCATTACCTTCTAGGAAGCGCAGAGTGGGAGCACTCACTGGAGCCTGCTAATCTGGCTTCACTTTCCTGTCTTTCTCTGCTCACCTGTGTCTCCATTCCTGGTCAGTGTGGAAAATTACCTTCTAGGGTCCTGTGGTGACAGATAACGGGAATTTTGTCCTGGACTGGAAGTTTGACCGGGTGCACAAATGGAATGAAGTGAACACAGCTATCAAAATGATCCCAGGTAACTTCAGTGCTCTCATAATTCCCCTCCTTCTGGCCACAGAAGGCACAGTGGATGTTGGCTCTGTAAGACTTGGTAGGAAAGAAGAACTTTATACCATGATTGGGATTTTAACTTGACCTCCTTTGCTTTTTTCCCCAGGAAAAAAATAAATGTTGCTTACGTAGCAGTTTTGGTGTGTGTCTTTACAGCCTATTTGAGATGGGGCAGCCCTGGAACTGATGAGAGTCAGAGGGAACTTGCTTTGAAGGGAAGTTCATCTCTGGGAAGGACTTGTCCTTCCAGAAGTTGACTGCAGCCTCTTGATCTTTGTGGGCCTCTTGTAAGCAGAGGGGGAAATGACTCAGTTGACCCACATCCGTTGGCTATACACCACAAGCAAGATGCCGTGACACGTTTTGGGGTATGCTCTGAGCTATAGAGCATGGAGTCTGTCCTCAGGGAGAGCTGATATACACCTGGGAAAGCTGTGTGGCAGTGTGGAAACCAGGCTTGCTAATAAGGTAGAGGGTGCTATTTGAGAGGAAGGAACACCAGGTGTGTAGAGTACACAGGTTGCTCTTTTGGAAAGTGTGACAAAGTTCTGTGGGATAGAGTTGGTTCCTTTTTTTTTTTTTTTTTTTTACTGGAACTGGGGATTGAACTCAGCCTTGCATGTGCAAAGCAGGCACAGCGCCACTGAGCTAAGTCCCCAGCCCCTGGAGGTGGTTCTTGACGGGGACCTTAGCATAGCATTATCGTCTGGGTATAGTCTAAACACTGAGCTAAGTGTTTAGAAAGGCTCATCTGAGTCCCATGTAGATGAGCTAGTTGAGCTAGTTATAGAGGAGGCTGTGAGCCAAGAAGAGTTCAGTGGTTTGCCCCAGGCTGTACACTAAGATGGGAGCCATAGGTTGTGTGACTCTAGACCCTGAACTTTGATCCTCACTTGCTGCGGAGAGGCTGTGGACATGAACATGTAGCTTGTGCCAGTATGGTATAGATACAGAGCAGGGCCCTTGGTGAAGGCTAGTGGGTGGTGTAGAGATAGATGAGTTATGAGGCCAGAGTTCTAGTTTAGGCCAGAGGAAGCATTGAGGGCTTGTATGAGATTAAAAAGAGGAGGCAGATTTAAGAGGTACCAATCTGATGATATTGAGAAGCAGAATCTAACTGGGACTATTCTGTGTCATTGAACAGCTAATAAGGCAGATAAAATTTCAGTTAGCTGAGTGCAGTGGTTAAGAATTTATTTTGTAGACTGCCCGGGTGAGGCTCATAACTCAGTCATGCTCTAGCATTGTGGATTTAGAGCAGGTAGCTCACAGCTGTACCTTGGTTTCTTCATCTGTAGAAGGAGCTAGTGCTACTCACTACCTCATAGGGATGTTGGGGGATTGAATTAGATAGAACAGTGCCCAGCACAAAGAGAAATGTTTGTTGAGTACATAAATCCCCAGGGAGAAAGGACACTATCATCACCATTAATTAAATATAGCAGATTTTAAGTTAACTGTGCTACTTGAGAACAAAAATGGTGTGAATAAGTGCTGTGTAGTAAAGAAACTAATTCTTTTCTGTGTGCAGAGGGTATAGGGATTGAACCTAGGGCTTTGGCACTGAGCTATATCACCAACTGTTTTTTGGGTTTTTTTAGATAAGGTCTTGCTATATTGCTAGGATTGAACTGGAAATCCTCCTGTGGCTTCCTAGAAGCGTCCAATTTCAGTTCTTCTAATTCCACTTTAGTCTGTTTTAGTCTTCTGTTGCCCTTCATTAATGGATTTTTTAAGTCAAAAATATGAGTAGAATGATCTTTATTGTTATCTTCTTAAGGGAAGAACTAAAGAGCCGGGAAGGCAAGCAGCAGCATGGTGTAGAGGTCGCTGTCAGTAAAACCTGAGAACTTGCCCCCGAAGGTAACCAGACAGACCCAGGGGACCCGCCAGGAAATGGTTCACTGTGACTTCCTCTGTAACGCAGTGCCCACTAGGGGGCTCTCTTGCTCCCGCTCAGGCCTTTCTTGACTTGTTGAGACCGGGAGAAAACCTTCCCCACTGTTGCTCTCCACCTAAGTTTGTAGAAGCTACATGGGAGAGTTCAGAGTTTCTTTTTTTTTGGAACTTAGAGTAAAGAAAATGAAAAGAGGAGGCTGGCTATTAAACCAAATAATATCTTATTTACAAGCCCCATTAGAGTAGTTTGTTGTCTCCTCTTTCCTTTTCTCCTCCCAGTTGTGCCTGTTAGATGTGCTGCTGGACCAGTATCAGAAGAGGTGCAGGGCAGGTTTCCCTATTACCCCAACTATCCCTGTCCTGGGTATATTTGCACACATGAGGATGCCCAGGGAACATCCTCAAATGGTTCTTTCTCCCACCTATCCACTGCCCTGCTTACTTAATCTTGGATCAGAGGATCAGTCACTCCCTGCAGCTCATTAACTTCGGGCAAGTTGCTCCAGGATCACTCCTTAGATTTCTTCCCACTCACCTGCTCTTTCCGTGAAGCCTTTTGGAAGCAGTGTGACTCTCCCAAAGACTGGGGGGTCTCAGTGCCATAGTGCTTGTCTGTGGGAGGCTCCAGTTGGGCTAGGTTTGGTGTCCAGACCTCCATGTTTGAGTGACTCACTGCCCCTCTTTATATGTTTATTGAGGCCTGTCTTTCAGAGTTTTTAAAGGACGGCAAGACCATCTTTCCTATCCCTTTCTCCTAGGCAGTTAGTTACCTCATCTGGTAAGCATTGTTGTCTGGCAGCATTGTTGTTATCAAGTAATCTTTTTTTGAGATGAGCTTCTATAAACACCCAAGTTCAAACTCCCTTGCTGACCCGTTTTTATCCAGATGATATCACACTGTGTATATGCTCTGTTCCCATCTCTTTTTGTTTTCTTTCGTTTTTTTGTGGAACTAAGGAGTGAACCTAGGGCCCTTGCACTGAGCTACATCCTCAGCCCTATACCAATTTACCCTACTGCCAACAATAGATTCTAGTCCCTGCTTTCCTACACACAAGATTCATGAAACCTTTTTACTGGTAGCTGATCAGTGGTGTCTCATTGTAATGTGTCTGTGTGTGTGTGTGCATCTATATAAACTTTTTTGAGAAAGACCAAAGGTAATTGTAGTTCATTCTCATTGCTGAATGGTATTTCATTGTGTGTATGCAAAAAAAGTTTATATATCCATCCTACACTTGATGAACATTTGGGTATTTTCAGTATTTAGCTATTAGGAAAAGTGCTGCTGCTGGGCATGGTGGCGCATGCCTGTAATCCTAGCACTTGGGAGGCTGAGGTAGGAGGATCACTGCAAGCTTGAGACCAGCCTGGGCTGCATGGTGAGTTCAAGGACAGCCTGAACTATATATAGCGAGACCCTGTCTCAAAAAAAAAAGGGAAAGTTCTGTTATGAATATCTTATGCTTGTCTTTTAATGACCATATTTGTGCCTAACAATTGCATGTCGAGGAGTAGAACTGGTGTTTAGATATGAATATAAGACATGATCGAAAAATAGTGAATGTTTAAAAGATTTATTACAGTAAAAGACATTGACATAATCTCCCTCAAAATACCTCCTGCTTCAAAAACACTTATCCTATCATTCTTGCTACTTTCTGAAGCAGTTCTGAAGTCCTCTTTTGCGAGTGTCTTTAGTTATACTGTTGTGCCTGTCTCCATGTCCTGATTGAATTCAAAGCATTTACTTTTCATGGCCTTTTTGACTTTGGGGAAGATCCAGAAGTTGCATGGTACCAGATCAGGTGAATAAGGTGGATGAGAACACACCATAATATTTTTATGAGCTGCCTTTTTTTTGGTACCAGGGATTGAATTCAGTGAGCTGCCTTTTTATTGGATGGTACCAGCATTCACTGTATACGTGTTTTTGGTCACACCTTGTAAAGACACTCATGAAAGAGGACTTCCAGACTTGCTTCAGAAGGTGGCAAGGACAATGGGATAAGTGCGTTTGAAGTGAGAGGGGTTATTAGGGAGATTATAGCAGTGTGTCTTTTACTGTAATAAGTTAATTGTATATTTTGATCATACGTCATGAGTTAAGCTTTAGAAGTTGTACTAGCAAACGTTTTCCAAAGTAGTTTTGCAGTTTACCTACCCCCATCAATGTATGACACTGCCTTTACATCCTAGCCAGCTGTCACTATGCTCATTTTGGTTGAGTGTATAGCGCTGTGTTCTTTTTGACTAATGAATTTTTGGATGGCTGTTGTTTTGAAGTACTTGCTTTGTCTTTTGCTCTTTTCTCTATTGGATTGTCTTTTTCTTAGTGACTTGAGGATTTTTAAATATATTTTGAGGTGGGTGTTTTTTTTTGTCAGGTGTATGCTGTGCAAATATCTCCTTCCATTCTGAGGGAGTCTTTCAGGTCTGGTCATGTGATTGACAATAATTGGGAGTAGGGCCTGCTTATAGTAGTAGTGGAGTGTCTGTCTAGAGGAGGACTTGGGATCTGATATATCAAAGGATAGTGAAAAGCAACCCCTAGAAGTGCTTGAAGATGACCATTCAGGCAAAGGGAACAGTGTGAACAAAGGTGCTGAAGTGGGAAAAGCTTGGCATGTTTGGGGACAGAAAGAAGGCCACAGTGGGATGGGAAAAAGAGGCCACAGGAAGAAGTAAAAACGATCAGAATGTGTCAGTTGCTCTGTGGGAGTGCAAGCCTTTAGATTTGTCATTTGACCACAGCTACTTACTCTGTTTGCTTCCAGTGAGCTCATGGCCCTTGATCCTCCTGCCCTGAAAAGCTGAAACTTCATGCTCTCTCTATCTTCTGCCTCGCAGGTGTGGTGGACACAGGCCTGTTCATCAACATGGCTGAGAGAGTCTACTTTGGGATGCAGGACGGCTCGGTGGACATAAGAGAGAGGCCTCGGTTGATCCTGCAAGGAGCAGAATGCTCACTTTGAGTCTCCAGCCACACCTGGGTGGACACGGTGCCTCCCAGAGCCTTCGCCTTAATATGTCCATGCCAGGGTGGACAGCTGGCCATGAGGAGGGGGCAGTGGATAAAATCCAGTCTTCTCAAATATTGTTATTGTATGTCTTTTTAAAAAGAGAGATTTAAACATATATATATATATATATATATTTATATTTTTACTATTAAACATACTCAGTTTTTTTATAAAGTAGAACTTGATTTCATGTTTTATATAAAATATTTACCAAAAAAAAAAAATGGAGAGGAGGGATGGGATGGGACTGTCTTTGACACTTTTGACTTGAGCCTACTGGTTAAGCTTTTGAATAGTGAGTTTGCTGGGAAATAAAAATCAAAACTTTTCTTTAAGTTGGTGAAATGAAGGGCCCAGCCAGCAGTGACGTTCTGATGCCTTACAGGAAACCTTGTTTACTTCTCTGCCACTCTCTGTTCTGTTTTTAGGTAGCTTTCCTTGTGATCACGCACAATTCCTACTTCCATTTTAAGATAAAGTTTACAAAAGTCTGAGAAGAGCAGCATGATATGTAGTGACTTGGAATGTGAACTAGCAGGGGGAAAACTTGGTAATTTTGTTCCTATTAAAGGTTTTGTTCTGATCCCTGTCTTTGGAAGCAATTAGCCAGAAATACTTGGCAGTACTGCCAGAGCACTGCTGTGAAATGTGAAGTATTTGTTTTTTTAAAAAATGATTTTCTTTTTGTTGATTTTTGTTGTTGTTGTTCCTTTAGTATTGCATGGTTCAGTGTCAAAAGTTTTCACCTATTTATGATGTTTGAAGGTTGAAATAAAACATTGTGGTGCCATTTGACTCTGTCTTTACTGAAGAATTTGAATGAAATGGGAATCTGGCCCATGCAGTTTACCTCATATATGGGGTGGAATTTAGTCAAGAAATCTCGTGCCATAGACTAGGTACTGGTGAATGGCCTTTTTCTGGGAGAGTTTGACTTCAGTGTGAGGGTGACATAGCTGAAAAAAATAATTGTTCCTGGGTTTTATATTAATTAAAACTTCTTTAGTTGTGAAAGCTGCTATCCAGTAAAATAGGGATCCTGACGTTTCCTTTTAGCCTGGTAGGCAGTGAACTGTCCAGAAACAGCTTTGTAGGTGTGACTATGCTAGTTGTGCACAGTATTTGAAAACTCATTTCCTTAGCTTACCCTGTTTTGAAATTTGAACTCAAGAACTATCAAACTTATTGGCATCAAAATTCTGCTAAATTAAATCGCAGAATGAAAGTCAGGATTGGGCACTGAAGAGGCTTCTCCTTGGTGGATTCTTCATTTTTCCTCGCTCTTAATGTCCCCAGTAGTTGTGTCACACATTGGGAAAGTATATTAGTAGTGCTTTATTTTTCCTTAAGACTTTCAGTTTGAATGATAGGCAATTTTTACACAAAAATGGGCACAAGATCTTACCTGAGAAACTCCAGCAGAAGAAATTTTCGAAATAATCCAGTTTTTGTGGCATGGATTTAACTCAGGGATAAAGATAAACAAGGTTAAATTTGGTTTCTGAAAAACACCTGCACGCTCCACATCACATGTAAATAAATGTTTTGTGGGTTTCACAGGCGTGCGCACCTGTGAGCAAACTGTAGGTCTTTTGAATGTTATTGTAAGGCTTTTCTTCTTGTGAAGAAATCAAAACACCTGCTTTGCCTTAGGCACATGTTGCTGGTGGTAAATCTTGATTAAAGATTTCTCAATAAAATTATTAAACATGACCCTACTGCCAATAAATTTGGTGAAAGAAAGTTTCCCAGTACATGCCATTCATCTGAGGGGTGCAGGATAGGCTGCAAGTGTGGTGATGGGGAAAGGTTTGTATCCCAGACAGGCTGCTCCCATCTCTGAGGCATCAGAGGAAGAAAATCACTTGGATTGGAATGAAATGTGTTTCATTTGGTTTTAACTAGAGCTCAAAGTTTTGACACTTCATTTGTCATCCTTTGTCTGAGCTCCCACCATGTGGCATCTCTGGTGGGGCTGGGGAGAGGCAGGCAGGAGGCTCCTCTGTCCCTGGGGCTTCTGGCCTGGTGAGTGAGCCTGCCGGGTGACAGGATGGGGACACAGATGGTGGGGAAGGAGACTGTGAGTGGGATGGTGGTTAACAAGTGACTGGCGACTGCGTCCTTCACCACTGACTTTGGCTCTTGTCACCATATTTTCACTAAAGTTAAATCATACACCAGTTTATGGTGGAGAAATGGGCTTGCATAGCCTCAGTCACTGGTCACAGACACTACACCAGCCTGGGATCCCTGGTCTTCAGGTCAGGGGTTTATGGTTCCTTGGAAGGTTCTCAGGTTAGATGGAAGGGCCAGGGATGCCACACTGTGTATGGGAAAGTGCCAGTGGACAGGCAAGTTTCAAAGACGAGCTGCTTCTGAAGTCATTTTTTAAGTTTGAAGAAAAAGGGCTTTGCTTAAACATGCTATTTTAAAACATACAGTTTCAGTGGTTCTACCCTATTATCAGAAAGCAATGAGGAGGGGAAAGGTAGGATTTGTCACTTTGGCATGGCCTTCATACCAGTCATTATCCTGGGACTTTGCTCTCTCTATGTTTTTCTTCTCACTACTGGTAATTGAACCCAGGCCCTCATACATGCCAAGCAAGTGCTCTGCCAGTGAGTTACATCCCCAGTATCCACCACCACCCTTCTTTTAAAATTTTATTTTGAGACAGGATCTCACTAAGTTGCCCAGACTGGACTTGAACTTGTGTTCCTCCTGCCTCAGTCTCCTGAGTGGTGGGATTACAGGTTTGTGTCACTGTCAGACAAGCAGTCCCACAGCTATGGTCTGATGTGTGTTAGTTTGCAGTTAGACACTGAGGCTCAGTTTGAATACTCTGTTCAGGTCACACCTCGGAAGGCAAGACAGACTTCAGTTCCAGGGCTTGCTCCTACTTTGACATATTTGTAGGGCTTTGATTAGTTTATGGTTCTTGATTGTGGCCATTAGTTGTAACTTGAGTCATGAGTAATGGCAGCTCTTGGCTGTTGGGAGAACATTTCTCTTTCTCAGTACTTAATGAATAGTTTATTTTAAATGTGTGTGTATAAGCACATGGTTAATCTTATAATATTCTGATAGCTTTCTTTAGTGGAGAAAGGAACATTACATACATCCAAAGGTGGGCCAAGGGGAAGTCCCCTTTGTAGAAATCATCTGTATCTGACACCCTGGAAGCTTGACAGCCATGGATCCCCCCACCACCCTGGCTTGTCCTTCCAGTGCTTGGCACCCCACCCCTCCCCGCATTCTCATTGTGACATAGGCACAGTGACAACCACAGGTATTGCTGTGTGGGGGCGTCTTTATGGCTAAAGGTGCTTCATTTCCGTTAGCCAGAAGCCATTCAGAAACACAAGGCTGGGGTCATCAGTCTGCTGAATGAAGGAAATCACTTGCTGTGGGGAATCTTATCTGGGTTTGGTAGGACAGAATGTTTGGACTTTGGGGCTCAAGAACTTGGGCTTGGCTTAGGACTGAATGCTGTCAGCAAGCAGGGGTAATCTACAAGGGGCATCTTAATGATTCTCACCTACAAAGTAAGAAGAATGAAGTGTGGTAAAGCTGGCATCAGTAAGGAAGTGGCAGTCAGTCATTCATGTGGGACGGGGGATGTCTGCTCCTACTTGTGACTTGGGCCCGACATTCTGTTTGGTCTGTGTTCACATAATCAAGGAGGGGTCTTGTTTTTGCCTTCATTATGATCACAGAACATCCTTGTGTGATGAGCCCTTGTGAAATCTTTTATGCCCAACAGGAGAACACCGTGGCCTTGCTGAGGGTATAGATGCACCAAGACCTGACTGCTGGAGCCAGGGCAGCTCAGGAGAGCATTTCTCTTTCTCAAGATCAAGAGGGCCTGAGCATCCGCTAATCAAGTCTTCCACACCTTAGATGAACTGGTGGTGTGCACTTGCTGTGTACTGGGCACTGTAGTGGGCAGGTTGGATCCCAGACACCCTGTGATGTGACTCCAGCCCTCAGTCTCTTGTGCCCTTCTCAAAAGCCTCATTGCTCACTTGCTGTCACACTGACTCCTTGCTAACCCAGTAATCAGATGTTGTTTTGATAAAGGTTCAGTGCCTTTGCTTATTTAGTAACTGGGTTGTATTGCAGGGCAGCAAAACACTCCAATATAGCCTGGCACTTAGACATACCCAGGTGGGCCCAGCAGATAAACATCTGGTGGTGGCGAGGGGGATGAAAGTGTCATGGTTAACATGGGTGGAGGCAGAGTCCAGAGGGAAGGAAAGGTCTTCCTTAGGAAGGCGAGTCCTGTGTTCTGTGAAAATGAGTGATGCACACTGACGAACAAGATCAATCCAGTGGCAAAACCCCCGTCTGTTACCCTGGATCTCTGAGAACCTCTGGTCAGTACAGCAGCCAGGTGGGAGAGGAAACAGCTGGCTCAGGGAACCGGGTGGGGCCATCTGACTGCAGGCTTAACCCAGTGGCAGTAAGATCCCTGAATGTGCCCCCTGCTGACAGAGCTGCATCCTGAAGGGAATGTCCAAGTTCAAGGGCACCGCCCGAGTTTCAAAGAGGAGAGTGTGTTCTTTGTACTTGAGAAGCTGGCCTTAGTGGAGGAGGAGGCCAGGTTGCAGACAGTGATGAATCTTGAAGCTTCCAGAGCATCAGTGTCTTGAGTTCACCTGCACTTGGCCCTCAGTCCTCTGTGCTGAGGATGCCTCTGTGTGTTACTTCACAAACCTCTGAGGAGCCTTCACAAAGCGAGAACCCACTGGGACCTGGTGCCCGGCGCCGCCCAGAAGGTCAAGAAAAGCACCATCCTGTAGAACTGTGAGCCACATACATACATTTAAATGTCTGATCACCACACTGAAAGGAAACAGGTGAAATTGATTTCAAGAAAATATTTGATCCCAAGTGTTCACAATACTATTTTAACACTAATCAGTATTTCACATTCTTTTTTTTTTGGTATTGGGGATCGAATTCAGGACCTTGCATTTGCCAGGCAGGGCTGGTGCCACTGAGCTACATCCCTGGCCCCAGTATTTCATATTCTTTTTACTGCATCTTCAAAATATGGCCCATCTCTGGCCAGGGATGTAGCTCAGTGGTTCCGCTGCCTGAATTGCAAGCGCAAGGACCCGAGTGATCCCCAGTACAAAAAAAAAACAAACAAAATATGGCCCATCTCATTTTGGACTGGCTACATGCCAAGAGACAAATAGGCACACATGTAGAGAACTGGGTCCAGAATTCCAGGGGAACGCTGGCCTTGCCTTTGTAGTGGCTATTCAAGCCCCTTCTGGTATCTTGGAGCAAGCCTGGAGTTCTTCTGTGGTCTTAATACATTTCTAAGAGCGACAAGAGAGTTGAGTCAGATGGAGAGCTACCTCTGGGGGCGTAGGGTTAGGGATCCACTCAGTGACCCCACTTTGAACTGAGATTTTTAATCTGTTCTTCAAGTAGCTGATCTCCTTGATCTTGTAAGTGACCTTGACTCCAGGAAAGGGGACACCATTCTTTCTGCTTCTAAGTATTTTAGTTGAGAGATACTATTTTTTTTTTTCTAAAAGAGGTAGTATGATGAAACCTAAGTTTGAAATCCCATTCTTCCAGTGACTAGCTTTTGAGCCAGTTATTTTGATCTTGAAGCCTTGATTTGTCTGTTGTAAAGTGGGCATCAGGATATTACCTTTTAGGGTTGTTTGAGGATTAAATGAGCTAATTCATGCCAACAGCTTAGAGTAGTTATTGGCACATAAACCATGTAAGACACGTTAAATTACTAGAAGACTGAGAAATTAAATTCCTTGGAC